TTCTCTTAAACTAAATATGTTATAAATCCTAATTAAAAAATAATTTATGGTAGATTCTATTTTAAAGGTTTTATTTTTCCGCTCTTAATTTTTTATTTTAAATGACTATAGAGCATATTTATTTGGATATGCTATTTTTTTTTTCTCAAACCTACTTACAAGCACATTAGCCCGAGCTCGTGGACATGTTTGGCTAGTTTGGCAAGTTATAATTAGGGGAAATAAAAATGCCTTTTTCAAACTTAAGGTAAATTCCTTTAATAAATCATTCACACAATTGAGATTAAAAAGTTAAATTTAAATAAATTCTCGTAAATTGACTCAAAATACTAATTGAATCATATGGATCATGAAATGCAATTTGATCATGAACAAAGCTTTATTTTGGTCAACTAAGAAAAATATCTTCTATGGAAAAATATCTTCCACAGAGATTAATTTATAATAATTGGCCCAATCAATGGAAGAAATTTAGAAGGCTTTTTCCACATATATACTATTATATGCATTATTTCTCTTATATAAACTATTAATTAATGAAGAAACATATATGCTTTGACTTTGGCAAGATCCTATTTGAAATGTATAGCTAGAGATGAAGTGGATCTCTTATCCATTTTGAAGTTTGAATTGCACATATATAATATGAATCAGATGGAAAGCATTGCAACTAATCTCAACTCAATTGTGAGAGGAAGACCTCAGAAAATGGGGCCAATTAATTAATTAATTAACAAAATGGAGCTTATGAAAAGTGCCTTTACTTATATTTTTGGCCATAAAATACCTTTGCTTCAGATGCCAACAGAAAATTCTGCACCTACTTTTTCTCTATTTTTCCTAGACAATTACTTGATCTTTGCCTGGACAATGTTAATTCTCCATGGCCAAAGCACCTTTTTCTAGTTCATTTTATTTGCAATAATTGAACGTAACAATTATTGATGGAGATCATAGAACATCGATCTCTTGAGAGAGTTCATCCATATATGCTTTCTTTTCTTGTCCGTGGTCATCTCCACACATGCGAGATGGAGAAGATCCACAATGAATTAGTAATAAGATTATTAATCAAGCTACAACTCATTAGATATTATTATCATATTTCTTTTAAAAAGAGATTATTATTGAACTCTTCCGAATTATAAATATTCAAGCATATTTTATATATATATATATATATTGCCTTGCTCGAAGAAGCTAAAATATACACAAAAGTTACATATACATACTAATTGCAATCATGGATGCTTAGCCAAGAAGTTAGTGATGAGGTGTAGGAAAGCGGACTGATCACGAGGGAGAATGGTCTTATTGCCATTAGTGAAACCAAACTCTTCTGCAGCCTTGTCTAGCAATTGCTCAACTTTTTCAGCAACAAGTGACGAGCTCCTAAACTAAAAAGGAGCACATAAGCCATCCAACCCCATGTTTGGTGCAAATCAACCTCTTTGCTAATTGAATTCTATGACGCTGTTAGTGAAATGACTCGCGTGGCATTTGGCACCCAACTGGTTCTAATGTGTCATTAGTGTTGCCATATGTTCTTTGAAACTTGCATCAATAAATATATATAAGGGTACTAAGATAGGAACAGCCTTTTTATATAATTTTTATATATCATTAAATAGGTGAATGCACTTAATATTAAAGATCTTAAATAAATAAATAAATAAAACTAATCGTTTAAATGATACATAAACTCATATTTAAAGGTGATATAAAAATATTATCTCTCAATCATTTTCTTATATATAAATTGAAAAAGCTACAGCTAATATCTAATAGGAGACAAAAATAGCGACATTAATTAATTTACAAGTAGTGATATAGGAATAATTTTTTTATACAATCTTTTTCTAAAATGTTTTCATGTTATTAAATAAGTAAATGTACTCAGTATTATAGGACTTAAATGATTGACTTTTTTTATTTATTTGGGATCTTAATATTGAATGTATCCATTTATTTAATGACATATACAAACAAAAAGATTATTCCTATATCATAACCTTTATATATATTTATTTATGCAAGCTTCAGAAAACAGGTGGCAACACTAATGACACATTGAAGCCAGTTGGATGCCAAATGCCACGCAAGCCATTTCACTAA